GATTGAGAAATTCCTTGATTAAGGTGATTTGCTAATCCATGTCCAGATTAGATATGTGCATAGTAAATCGCTTTCTCTATCCTTCTTGGCTAGGCTGTCTTGATTCTTTCCTTGTATAATCAGTAGATCTCTAGTCTTTGACTTGATTCACGACTCTTCCCTTTCTTGATAACTCGATTCTAATTGAGGCTTTGATTTGCTAATCTTCTTGATTTCATCTTGTCAATCAAGGTGTGCTTGATTGAGTTGTTTGTTGTATTTGGACCATATGTATAGTGATTCTGATTCCTTAGATTAAGGCTTTCCTTTCTATCAATTTCTGTAATGATCAATCATATATTTCTTTCCATCTTGATGTTGTCTGCAAAGATCATTTCCTTTTTGATTTCGTGGCCTACGAGAATTGTGAGCAATGGGTTAAATGTCTATTTTCAAAATCAACTAAGTCTAAGGAATTAACAATCTCCCCCTTTTTGATAATGAAAACTTGTTCACAATTTAATATGTAGTATAGAGAGTCAAAGATACTTCCCTGATAGAAGTTGTATGTGAGCTCTGTAGACTCTGTAGCTCCCCCTGCCTTTGAGACGCTAAATGACAGTGTAGCTCCCCCTGTCTTAAGGAAATTTTGGGAAGGCAAACTCTCTCCCCCTTTGGGATAATAAAAAAGAACACAGAACTGCACACTAGATATAAACGAGCAAAGAAAAGCAGAAAATAGCAAAGCAGTTTAGAGGTCAGAGAGTCCTAAATAAACACTCCAAAAAAAGATAGGGACAGACCCATATTAAAAGTTAGTCCAAAAATAGCAGTTAAAACACATATTTCCAAACGCAGGGGCTAACGATCACCCAAAAAGTACTTGAGGGTGTTGATAACCATTCCACAGAGAGAGTTATAGGATCGTTCCACATTGCGAGAGAGACTAGAGTACGAAGTCTAAACAGTAACTGCAAAATCATTGTTAAAGGAGCTGACTCCACTCTTAAGAGAGCCAACTTGTTTAATCAACCTATGGACAGTGGAGATTCCTTCATCTTTGATCCCTGTTATAGCAATACGCAGCTTACCCACGTTAGTACTTGTATCTTTCTGTAGACGAAAGACTTTTTCCACAACATCGAGAAGAGTCTCTAAGCCACGTTCTACTGTTAAAAGCCGAGTCTTAAGTTCATCATTGTCTTGCAATAGGATAGCGGTTGAATCTGCAAAAAAAATTGTATGTTTGAGGGTCTCAGCCCTCGCCTTGAAAGAGTCCTTTTTAACCCACTTATCTTTAACCTGCACATACCCCATACTAGAAAAAGTACGAAAGTCATAAGAAGCATTAATAACAATGGGAGTAAACATAGAGAGATCCACCAGAATACGCGATATAAGTAGGCCATACGGCAGACTGGCAGAGGCATTCGTATCCTCAGCACTTTCCCACATATATTCCTTGAACCATACCACACAATATTTCCTAAGTAAGCAGTAGAGAATATACACATCCCGAGTAGATATATTACTCAAGGAACCTATCCTGGAGATGAGAGTGGTGGCAACAATGTGCGCCAGTATACGATTTTTAAAACAAAGAGACAATGGCCCAAAGCAAGAACTGTCAGAATCCGGTTCAGCCACAGCTCTCTTTGCACCTTCTAGAGAGACTTCAAAGTCTTCAGGCAAAGTTCCGTTCATATATGAAATCACACCAGGAAAATTTGTACCAAATACATCTTCAAAGAGCAATTCATTAACAATAATGCAATTTCTCAAGACTAAAGTTTCTAACTCACCGCTGTCAGGAGATATGCGAAGATTTGTATAGAAGAGTCGAACAGCCTCTTCGAAAAGTTCAAGACCACTAAGAGTGAAAAGTGGGGATAATTTATGAACTTTGAGATAAGAGCTTACCGGGCAGTGAGAGTCCTTTAGCTGACTGAAGTTTACAGCACAGCCAGGAACAATCGGACTAGTTTTGAAGTTGTCATACCTGTGCTTCTGTTCGATTCCTCAGAACCTTTGCATGTCTACTGGAGAGAGAGATCCCGACGCAAGAGGATGAGGTTTCTTTGAAGCTTTCTGTTTTGAGGTAGATATTCTCTTCTTTGATGAGACAGTCGGGGAAGCCATTGATCCTGTGGAAGAATTACAGGAAAGGACAAGATGTCCATTTCGAAAGAGCTTGAAGGGGCAGAGGGTTTTTGAGAGGTCATGGAGCGAGTTTTAGTCATGGTAGGTTAAAGAAGGAAGAAGAGAAGAAGACAGATAAACAGAAAAGAGAAGAGGGAGAAGAAAAGTCTTTGAAATGAAGGGAGGGTACATAAAAGAAAAGAAAAGACGGGAGATATAGGGAAACGGAGGAGGCGGTGGTAGATCATAATTAAAAAAAAAACAAAAACAAGGAAAACACATTAAACGCATAAGGAATAAAAATTAATTAAGGCAAAACACGGAAAATACATTGAACGCATAAGGAATAAAAATTAATTAAGGCACGTAATACCAAGGCAATTTCTAAGGAAACAAAATATCTCTTCAAGTAGCATTTTTGTAAAAATATCAGCTAATTGATTTTCAGAATCTACGAATTTCGACGAAAAATCATCATTTTCAACATAATCACGAATAAAATGATGCTTGATATCAATATGTTTAGCCCTGGAATGGTGCACAATATATTTAGAGAGACTAATAGCACTAGTATTATCACAAAAAATCAGAACAACTTCATAAGAGAGATCATAATCAAGTAATTGATGCATCATCCATAAGAGTTGAGTACCACAGCTTCCAACGGTTAGATACTCAGATTCAGTAGTAGATAAAGCAATCGAAGTTTTTTCTTGCTATGCCATGAGACTATAGATTGTCCCAAGATTTGGCATGTTCCACTTATACTCTTTCGGTCATTTTTGTCACCTGCAAAGTCAGCATCTGAGTAGCCAATTAAATCAAAATGAGTTGAGTGAGGGTACCATAGTCCTAATTCAGTGGTGTCAATCAAGTAGCGAATAATTCGCTTTACTGCAGTAAGATGAGATTTCTTCGGGGAAATTTGAAATCTTGCGCACTTGCATACGTTGTACATAATGTCTGGTCTATACATTTTTTCATCCACATCTTTCGCGGGTGCATCTGTTTCAAGGCACGTGGAGGGACTCATGGGGATGCCAAAAGCTTTTCCTTTTTCGAGTCCAAACATCCTTATTAGCTCCTTTGTGTACTTGGTTTGACTAATGAAAGTTCCATTTGTTGACTGTTTGATTTGAAGTCTGAGGAAGAATGTGAGTTCTCCCATTAGACTCATTTCGAATTCACCTTTCATCAGATTTCTAAAATTCTCACACAAAGAAGGACTAGAACTTCCAAAAATAATATCATCAACATAAATTTGAACTATAAGGATATACAAGCCAGATCTTTGAATGAAAAGATTTGTGTCAATTTTTCCCCTTTGGAAATTATTTTGAAGTAAAAACATACTCAATCTCTCATACTAGGTTTTTGGAGCTTGTTTGAGACCATAAAGAGCTTTGGACAACTTATAAACAAAATCAGGACAAGAAGGATTTTCAAAACCGGGGCGTTGTTTGACAAAGACATCCTCTTTTATGAAACCGTTTAAAAAGGCACTTCTTTCATCCATTTGAAAGAGTTTAAAGCATTTAAAGGATGCATAAGCGAGCAAAATTCTAATAGATTCTAACCTTGACACCGGAGTAAAAGTTTCATCGTAATCAAAACCTTCTTGTTGTGAGTAGACTTGAGCAACTAATCTTGCTTTGTTGTGAGTAAATTTTCCATGTTCATCAAGTTTGTTTCGAAACACCCACTTGGTTCTGATTACTGAACAATTTTAGGGTCTTTCGATAAGAGTCAACACTTGATTTCTTTCAAATTGATCAAGTTCTTCTTTCATTGCTTGTACCCATGACTCGTCTTCCATAGCTTCATTTATTCGTTTGGGTTCCATTTGAGATATAAGTGCCACAGAAGCTTTTTTTTTAGGGAAGACCGTGTCTGGATTTTGTCATCTGGTTTCCGAGAATGAAATTTTCAGGATAGCTAGCATTGTGTCTCCAGTCTCTTGGAATGTTGGCTTTGTCGGCTGGAGTAGTCGACTCCACCTCTGCAGTAGTTGACTCTTAAGTATTAATTTCAGTGTTGATGATTGTTGTATCTTCAACTGGTTTGAGAGAAGTAATTTCATCGTCACCGACTTCAACTTCATGTACTCTTGGATTAGTGTCATCAAATAGCACATGTACAGATTCTTCAACACTTTATAAAGTTCTTTTATTAAAAACATGAAAGGCCTTAGGAGCATAGCCTAAAAAGATACCTTCGTCGCTTCTTGGATCGAACTTACCGAGATTATTCTTACCGTTATTGTGGATGAAACACTTGCACTCAAAGGGATGAAAATAACTTATATTTGGTTTCTTACCTCTCCACAGTTCATAGGGAGTCTTCTTTAAAATATGTCTAATTAGACACCTGTTAAGAATATGACAAGCAGTGCTTACAGCTTCTACCCAAAAATGGTCAGGTAGACTTCTATCGAGAAGCATTGTTCTTGTTGTATCTTATAGTGAGCGGTTTTTCCTTTCTACTACTCCGTTTTGTTGAGGAGATCTGGATAAAGAGAAATTTTGAGTAAAGCCGTTTAGAGCACAGAATTCTTCAAAAGTCTTATTCTCAAATTCTCCACCATGATCACTATGAATAGTTGTAATGAAATACCCTACCTCTAGTTGAACTCTTCTACAAAATGCTTCTAAGTTAGCAAAAGCTTCATTTTTATGAGTTAAAAATATTACCCATGTAAACCTTGAGAAGTCGTCAACAATTACGAAAGCATATCTTTTACCTCCAATGCTTGCAGTTCGAGTAGGACCAAATAGGTCTATATAAATAAGTTGAAGGGGTTTAGATGTACTTACAATATCTTTTCCTTTGAAGAATGAACGAGTCTGCTTAACCATTTGACATGCATCACAAATATGATCTTTCTAAAACTTTAGTTTTGGCAGACCAATGACTAGTTCAAGTCTAGAACGTTTTTCAAGAGCATGCATACTTGCGTGTCCAAGCTTTTGATGCCATAGCCAAGGATCGCTTGAGACTGCAGTAATACAAGTGAGAGATGGAAAATCAACATTATTTAAAACATATATATTATTAACTCGATCTCCAATAAGAGTTAGCTTTTTCTCAAGATGTTTGATGATACAGTTGGCTGTGTTGAAAGTGACTTGAAATCCAGCATCACATAGTTGACTAATGTTGAGGAGGTTATGCTTGAGTCCCTCAACCAGATACACTTCGACTAGGTCACATGATGAACTAAGTGTAATGGTTCCAACTCTGGTTACTTCCCCTTTAGCATTGTCTCCAAACCTGACACATCCTCCATCTATTCTTTTTATAGTTTTGAAGTTTTCTTTCTTTCCGCACATATGTCTGGAGCATCCACTGTTAAGTGCCCACATTCCCTTTTTGTAGGTTTTCTTGGATTTCTCCTTCAAGACAGTAAGATTAGTTTCTTTTAGGTACCCAAGTATTTTTGGGTCCTTGATGATTAGTAACTTTCGGTCTACAAATCCATTTTCTAGAAGAATATTTTCTACATTTAAAATATTTTTGACCAAGTTTACCGCAAGTGAAACAAGTAATTTTAGTAGAATTTTCAGGAGAATAGGAATTAGAAATAGATCTATTTGATCTGTTAGAACTATGATTCGAAGGGTTTTTTCTATGAAGCGTAGTTCTGTTAGATCGGACAGAACTATGACTTAGAGATTTTCAGATGTCGTTCAACTGCATTTTGACTTCCTCTAGTTCTTCAATAAGTAAGTCGACTTCAATTTGACTTGCTTCGAGAAGAATCTGCCAATCTTTCTTTTCTTGAGCAATTTTATTGTATTCGTCAATAACCTTTTGTAGTTCATCAGCAACCATGTCCAAAGAATTTTGTAAGTCATTACAGTTAAGACAATTAAAAGATCTTACCTCACTTGTTTCACCTTGTGCCATGAAACATAGATTTGGCATTTCATCATGGTTATCGTCAGTTGTTTCACCTTTATCCCATGCTCCAAGACTCTTAGGATCTTCGTTTCTTCGATTGTTTCTTTTTCTCCATTCTGGGCAATTTTATTTTTTGTGTCCTGGTTTTCCGTAGTAGCAATAGTGATCATCATTCCTTTTGAAATCATTGTTCTTGAAGTCCTATTGAGGTCTCTATCTTCTATATTTAAGTATTTGTCTTACTCCTCGATTGATAAGAGCCAGTCCTTCATCTTGATCTTCATCAGCTTCTTCTCCAATTTTAGATGTTTCAGTTGTAAATACCACAGTCTCCTTTTTATCATCCTTGTTGTACCTATTAATATGATTTTGTTCATAGGCCATTAAGTTGCCTCGAAGTTTATCGTATGTCATTTTCTGCAGATCTCCATCTTCAAGAATGACAGCTTTAGTTTCCCAAGCCTTGGGAAGACTTCTAATGAGTAACCTGACTTGTAGTGCATTTGAATACACCATTCGAAGTGATTTGAGTTCGCAGACAATTTTACTGAATCTCGAGAACATAGATTCAACGTTTCCATCTTTGGTCATTTATAACAACTCATATTCATATACAAGTGAACTGATCCGAGCTTCTTTTACTTTAGTGGTTCCTTCATACGTCACTTCTATTTTGTCCCACAATTCTTTCGCAGTTTCATATGTTGATGGTTTGTCATATTCGGATCCACTCACTGCACAATATAACAAACTTATAGCTATAGCATTAATTTGAATTACCTCTTGTTGTTTCTTAGTGATATCAAATGATTCAGGATCAAATGGCTTTTCAGTGCCATCTTTTTCAGTCAACCTAGGAATTGGTTTTGGGCCCTTCTTGATTACTATCTATGCTTGATCATCATTTGAAGAGACAAAGATTCTAAATCTGTCTATCCAATGAGAGTAATGTTGTCCATTGAAGTATGGTGGTCGGTGTGAAGAATATACATCTTGAAGTAAAGCTCCAGAGATCTGATAGTATGCCATTGGATCTTTGCTCACGTGTGGTTAAACACTGAAATAGTGAGACCTTCTCTTATACCAATTGAAAGTCAAGAGGGGGGGATGAATTAAAATTCCTTTAGTTGACTCACCTGCACGTTAGTAGAATAGATAAATAGTGATAATAATTTGCAGTAAGTAAATAACACAGAGAGTTTTTATACTGGTTCGAATCACCGATGTGGTGCCTAGTCCAGTCCCCTTGGGTTACAAGGGTTTCCTTAAGAGCTTTGAAGTGAGCTTACAAAATTTGATACGCTCAAATTACACCTCTTTTCAAAAGCATAAGTGATCGTTATCACGTAAAGAACCCAACTTGTAGATTGGGGTCGATCCCACAAAGAATATGGTTTAGACATAAGTTCAATAACGATTATATTCGTTTAGCTAATGTATTTCCGAGACAAATAAGAAAAAGGGGGAGGGGGGGGATTTGTGTAACAAAATTTGGAAATTATGAAAGTAATTAGTACGAAAGATTCAAACTTTTGTTGTTATCAAATTGAGAAGGAAACTAGGGCGTACGTGTTCCCCATAAGCTCATAACTCCGTAATACTAGTAAAAGCAATCCCTTCCTAGTATATTACAGCAAAGACATAAGTTTTGTATCTCTAAATCTTTGGTCCGACATCTAGAGAATTTCACCTCATACCTTGGTCCGGCTACGTGTGTATAATTTACTAACCCTTACCATTACCTCATATTAGACGTCACATCGATGTATGACTTAGTTTTCACCCTCGCACCAATCGACATTAATTATATTAGATAGTATCACACTAAATCTAAGTTGATAATTCTTTTCTTATTAACTACATCCTTGGTCTGGCAAGTAGCAACAAGGCGAGTTCTAACGTTGCGCATCGTTAAAAAGACTTCTAGACGAAAGAATTATCAATGCATACAAAACACTATTCGGGAATTACTTAGTTACTATTCATACTTCGTTAATCGCTCATGGTTCCCACAACCCTAGTTGTGGATTTAGTTACCCATATTAGCAAGAAAATAATTCATAATGTTTGAAGAATAAATCATGAACTTATGTAGTAGAGTAGAATAATCCTAGAATTTCAACTTGAATTTCGAAGTAAAAATCACCAAAACGTGCTTAGGAAATTAAGAATTGCTAAAGTTTCAAGTTAATCTCCCAAGACAAAAACTAGAACAAAAATAATAATGTCTCACCTCCAAAAACGAGGTTTACATCCCATATATATAGAAAAATAAGCCCTAACTAAAAAGGAAACGAAATAAGGAAATAAAGTTGCAGGACGCGTATTCATTCTACGAGACTACCCTACGGTCCGTAAGTCCCTTCCGTGGCTCAGGACTTAGGCAATTTTCTTTCTTCAAAATCTGCAAAATCTCTATCGTAATCGACGATTCAACAGTACGGACCGTAAGTCTATCTACGGTCCGTAACTCTTCTGCGTAACGCCACACTTAGATTTTTTCAGCATCAGGTACTGGAACCAATCTCTGAATGATTTGATAGAGCAACAGTACGGTCCGTAGATCAATCTACGGTTCGTAAGTCACAACCGTGGTTCCACACTTGGTCAAGAATTCCCTGATCTTCAATAATGCCTTTCCTGCCCTTCTACGACTATCATCTACTGGGCCGTAACTGGACCTACAGTCCGTAAGTTGCCTCTGTAGATGCCCTTTTCTGCACTTCTTTCAGTTGTGTCTTCAAGTTTCCGCGCCTGAACCTATTCCCTACAAACATGAGAAAAACACATATAAACTGATACAAAATACCCTAAACACACACAACTCTCAAGTGAAATGTATCAAAAATATCGTAAACTCACGGTACATCAACACCCTCAACTTAAAATCGTTGTTTGTCCTCAAGCGACGCACTAAGACTCTAAACGACACTTGTATAGAAGCAAGCAATAACATGGCTCTCTATCCCAACTCTCTTTTCGGGTGCAAAATTTTTTCTCTTAGACTCAACAAGCTAATTTGTGCTTATCAAAATATGACACAGATCGACCAATCAACTACATACACTGTTCTACTATCACCAAGGTACCAACTTTCCAACAATGTCACCAGTGTCCTTACTTCAAACGAAATCCATTTTTTCACACAATAAATATGATTTTAAGTACAAGGATTCATTCAACACTCACGCTCAGAAGTAACTTCAATTACAAGTAGTGCTCAATACCATAGGCTTGCCCTTATTTTCACTGCTTAGACTCTCCAACTAGGTTCTAGGATCACTATAGGACTTTCTTGGCTTGTAACATAGGCTCAGGGTCAGGTGTGGTACATTTGGGTACTTTTTTCCCTCCTTGACATTACATTAGGCTTTTCTACCTCGTTTTGTCCTATTTTTGACATCCTACCTTTTTCTACTCTTTCCTTAGATTCTTTCCAATCATTGATGTGACTTTCGACTTTGTAGCTCTTTTATTTTTCACTTTTCTTCTTTTTCTTGCTTTTTCTTCTTTTCTTTAGTTTTGCTCACTTTCTTTCGCACAAAGTCACATCTTTTCTTTTTCTTTTTCAACACCAAACTCTTTTCATAGCCATTTTTCTTTAGATTTCCCCTTTCATAACCACCCTCAGCTTAAGGAATTTCTGTTAGTTGAGGTACACAATACCCGATGTCGGATCAGGGCCAAGATTGAGGTCAATTTTTGCATTAGCCACCCTCAACTTAGGCTTTTGGCCTAAGTTGAGGTGTACATGTCCAAGGAGGGACAGAGGCCAAGACAATAGATTATGGGAAGATGAGTTACGAGTTGCTTAAGAAATGGTCTCTTTTAGGCTCAAAGCATTTGGATCAACGGGAGCATTCATTTTCATTTGGTTGGATTCTTTTAGGCATTTAGTGGACTATTCAGAACAATGGCTTATGATCACTTCCTAGCCTCTAGAGTAGATTATCTTCGCAGGACTAACCGGGCAAGTTCTAGATTGGCACCACTTCTTTGAACAGCCAACGATTCTCGCACACTCTTAGCACACATTTCCATTATCAAATTACGCAGTTCAAGTTTTTAGCTTAAGTCATGAAATCAAATTTTTCATTATCATGTCATACTCAAAGCCAACACATTCAACTTATTCTAGTCTACAGCTTTTAGCACACATTTCAATATCATTGAACGGGTATCATTTTTTTCAACAAGCTCATGCCATCATGCTTATGTTATCATTCCTTCTCATGCTTCTACACATACAATCCTAAACTTGCCGGTTCAACAAAAATTAAGCAGTCTCTTGGGGAAAAATAACAGAGGCAAGAAAACCCCAAGAGAGAATTTTGAGTTGGGTTACTTAGATTTCACCCTATCACTCACAATCAATTTACCCCACCCCCAACAAAAATAGGTGCAATTGTCCCCAATGCAGACATAAATCAGTAAAAATTAATGGATTTGGGTGAAGCAAACCTGTGGCGCTTAGCGTCGAAGAATCATCAACAAATGGGTGGGTCCGGTTTCCCAGATTTCGCTACAGCAACAGTGGGGTCACCCTCAGTACTGCCCGTATCTTTGGTCACAGCACCCTTACACTGGGGGTCAGTCTCACCGCACCCCAGTGGTGCTCACATCATCCGCCACAAGGGTTTTTAAATTAGAGGTCGTCCGGGTCGAGTCGATCAAGCTAGGGTTGGACCTACGAGACACTCTTACAGTCCATAGATCGATCGACAGTCCATAGATAGGGACCGTAGATCACCTTCACACTTTGTAAAATTTCACACTTACCTAGGATCTACGAACGCCATTTACGGTCCGTAGAATGAACTACGAACCGTCGATGGGGTCCGTAAACCTCTGCACCAGACCATTTTTCTGCAGATTTTTGCCTTGCGCACCTGCACACGTAGCAACCATTAGGCCATTCTTTTTACATTTTTCTGGACACTTTTTTAGACACGAACCCTATGTTATATCTAGCCAACACTAACCAAGAAATTAAAGCACCTATCTAATTGAGTACAAAGACGTAATTAACCAAAGAATCTACTAGACGCAAAACAAAACATATAGTTGGCTAGATTGTACATCTTAGGTTGCCTCCCAAGCAGCGCTTGATTTAACGTCGCTGCACGACGCATGTCCCTTGATTACTCAAACTTCATCAAGCTGTCATGCCTCTATCACTGTATTTACACTCTCATTTCCCATGTAGATTTTTATCCTTCGTTGGTCGGCTTTGAACCTTGTCCCATTCCTTTTCTCGAGCTCAACCACTCCATGTGGGGACACTTGGGTGACTTTGAATGGTCCAATCCATTGGGACTTAGATCTTCTCGAAAAACAGCACAACCTTGATTTATACAACAACATCAGATTACAAGGAGCTAGTTTGCGCTTTTCTGTCTTTTGAGCATGGTGTTTCTTTTCCGTATACAAGGCTACACCTAACTTCTCCTTACTAAACACTTCAGCACCTCTTCCGAAAGTGTGACTCACCACCGATACCGATTTAAGATGCAATCATAGACTTACAGACGTTAAAGGTCACCTCCTCCTTATTTAGTTGAAACTTCATCTGCCATCTCTATATCGACTAA